AATATCATGGTTTATTTAGAAATATAAAATTAAATATTTTATATACTTACACATTTCATAATTATAACCGAAACACAAATACACCAAACATTTAATAGTTTTTTTTTTTTTTTTACCAAAAGGACATATTTTATTGTCTACAATAATAAACGTATCTAATTTTTAAAAAAATATGACGCATACATATTATGTTGTACATGTCTGCTGTGTAACAGGTAATTATTTCTTTGTTAAAAACGAAATAGTTTTTCGTTTGTATTGTTATTGGACGGACGCCATTTTCTTGTCTGTTTATCACTGCAATTTATACATTAATTAAGAAATGTAGGTCTTAAAATAACAATTACACGCCCACGACACCGAAGCAACGGATTATAAAGGTATTTCAAAATAAAACTTTTTCGTTATTTGAACGTGTTGATCGTGTGTGTTTTGGCTAAACGCTAAGGTCGGAAGCAATACTTTCTGCAAGTACTCAAAAATATTCGAAAAGCATCATCATAGAAACTCTAATTCAAATAATTATACTTTAGTTCGTAACTTACTGAAACAAGCTTACTTAATTAGATTTATGTGGATTGGGATTCATTGTAATTAATGACATTTACTTGTCCGTATACCTATAGCTTAAATTATTATTTAATTAGCACCCTAATTTAATTATGTCAACGAAATTATGTTAAAGTATACGTAACTTTTATATTATCAAATAAATAATTTTAAATTCCTCAAATAGATACAAACATAAAAATAAATCATTACGTTTGACTACTTTTATAAAAAGCACATGACTTATGTACTATTTTTTTTATATATATAATTTTTGATGCTTTAACTTTTAAGATGGACTGTCAACAATATGTAAGGCAAATAGAATAAAAACAAAACCATTGATTTACGGCCATATATATCATATTTGAATACACTCACCGCGACGAAAATAAAGAAAAATAATTGCATACTGATCGTAAAAATCCTACAGCAACAATGTTCTCGATAAGCCGATCCGACTTTGTTGACTATCGAAAATCTCTCGAACGATTCTCCGGACTTCGAATTCCAGGCGATCTAGTTTCCTATGCTCAGCGTTGCCTGTAAAAAGGTGTAATTGTCAAACGTCAGTATTGGATAGGTACAATGGCCGCGAGAGCGTAGCGAACTGCGTCCAAGTCGGGGACGACAATTGTAATTGATTAGCAAATCCGTACCAACTTAAAATCATTATGCCGTTACCGGTACGCAAGCGGATTTTCCCAAATTTCCCGGGAATACTAGCAAAACTTTGCGTCACCGCAATTCGATGCTGCTGTACGGCGGCTGTTGTCGCGAAGAACGGTAAAACCGCGATCGAGTCGAATAGGTGAAGACGCAGAAACACAATAAACGGAATGTTCATCCGAACGGATTCGAGCACGGTCTTAAGCGGCCCTAGCACGATCAATATTATTGACAGTGCACTCGTCAAACGACCGATACAAATTATAGTCGGCATTTTTTCTTTTTTTTTTTTTACTCTCAGCAGAAGCATCATTTCAACTTTTGAAAGGATGGGGCCACTGTTTAAATTTGCCGACTTCATAATATTTAAAAAATTATGGTTACCTATATATTTAAATATATATATACTATTTACTGATTTTAGCATTTGATCATCATACAAAGAATTGCCAACTTTTTAAAATGTCTTAAAGTGGGGCATTTGCCATTGTCTACCCCCTCCCAAATGACGCCCCTGACTTTCAGCAGTAATGTGTGACAGTAGAATCGATAAGCAAAAAAAGGTGTGTATTTCAATTATTATAATTACTCTTTCCTATTAAAAAAAAAATAAATAAATAAATAAAAAATATAAAACGTAAACGGTGGACAAAATAATGGTAATTGTATGAAGTATTAAACAACAGGCCCTCCCATATTATTATCAAATTTTATTATTATTCTTATTTATTATAATTATTGTTATTGCGCGAAAAGCAAATCGATTAGACAATGAACACCGATACTCGCTCTGTTGACCGGTTATCGCTAGAGGTCCAAGGTCGGTTTTAGTCTTGGATTATTTCTGATTTTCTCTTTTGGCCCATTAGATCTTTATGTGTATCTACCTGGAGTATTTGTGATATTTTTCATTTTGTAATAATTGTTATTTGTATTCATTTTCATCAAAACCCTGTGTGCTCCGATCACTGGTCTAGGCTACAGGTTGGTGACTCTCAAGGAGTAGGTTTATCACACGACGCTCAAATTCACATCTGAGAGACGTTGCAATTGTTTGTATAGAGAATCAAATCACCCAAAACGTCCCGATCGCGAAATTCCGGACTTGTATTTTGACTTCCGTCGTCCGTCGCTGCGACGTAAATACTGAAGAACAATCGTTTTCCATCATGCACCAGTGGTTTCCCTAGACTCTTATAGGGGGAAGGGTGAACTTCATATACTATTTTACAATGTATTTTTTTTATGTATTTTTCTAGTGTGACATAAATAATATATAACAATTCGAAGAATAAAAAAGGCCATGGGAATGAAATAAACCTTTACTAATGAATAAATTCCATAACTAACCATTTGCCCCACTCCTCTGAGAATAGCCCTGCTACACACTAACAATACTATAATAAATTAACAAATAACGACGACTCGATAACAAATTTTTCTGTCGATCATCGATATCGTTTTTTTCCTCCTACTGACGGTACATCAATACATGACCAACAATACTGTCAATATCTGAAACACTGTCAGTAATACTGATCGTGTACGCAGCCACATAGTTAGAGAAGGGCCTCTCCCTTGAATTTACTATGGCCGAGGGCCGGCCACCTCAGACGTACGTACCAATTGTTTTTTTGCAAGCATCGAAAACACACTTTGCTGATGGTTTATGCTCTTTAAATAAATCTGTTACGATAAATGTTCGATAATACAATTTATTATGATTTCGATTATTATATAACTTCTTTATAGACTGTGACGTACATAGGGGGGATAGAGGGGGTGATCGCCCTGGGTGGCATTTTTTTAGAGGCGAAATCAAATTTTTACATATTCCATTTCATGTTGATGAACAATAATATAAATTGGTTAATTTTTTTTTTGTCCAAGATAATATTTTAAGATTGAAAATATTCATGAGAGGGAGGAACAAAAATTGTAGACGAAAAACCTCTCCTTCAAAACGTAAATAAGTTACTTGCGGTCGAGAATGACCGATGAACGACTAAACAGTATGGTTATATTAAATATTGAATCAGACATCACAAAAAGTTTACAGTATGATGACATAATCAATGAGTATAGTCCTTTAACACTCGTAAAAAAAAATATGTAAATTGTAAATATTGTTTTGTAATAATAATAAATAATACATTTTTATATTTTATATTTGTGACTAATATATAAAGATTACGTAATGTTTAAAGTTTAAACTGTGCTTTCTTTTTCTGATAACCAAAAATTGTTTAATGGAAATTTTTGATTAAATAATCAATGGGAACTGGTTTCACCATAGAATACAAATAGCGAATACATTAAAAACAAAAATGTAACAAATAAGTTAGAAAGCGCTTGAAAAGATAACGATAACGTAAAGGCTGTTATACGGCCTACGGGTGGTTACTGGAAGATAAGCTTCGACGCGCTCAGTAGGTGAAAAAATTTAAATAATTTTTGTTGGGGCGAGGCGAAAAAATCAATAGCACCCGGGCGTCAAATTTCTGAATACCTCTCTGTATACAGATATAAATATAGTTAAATTACATTTTATATTAGTAGAAAACTTTTTAATAAATTTAAATAATGAGTTTGTTCCGGTGGCAGTTTTGATAAAACATCAAGGGAAGGGGGGCTATTTTCAATTGTTTACCCTCACCATAGTTACATTTATCAAATTATATGATAATTGATGATTCTATTATAAATGAAATAATTTTCATTATTTTATTTCATTATTTAAATAGTTTAATTTTATTGGAATATAAAATATAGAAAAAAGTCCTTACATTTTTCCTTCACTTATATTCTAGTCGTAGGTCTGTAATTTCTGATAACGTACATTCGTCTATTGTTATCACTCCAAAGTTTCATGCTGATGCGAAAAAAAAAAAACATTTTTAAAAAAATATAAGTTGAAAATTATCGTGAAAATGATACGACGTACAAAACATAGCAGTTGACATAAAAAAGAATCCAAGAGCCTCCTCGTCCCCCCTAAAATCCGTCACCGGTCTGTTCGTAAAAGACATAATGTTAAATAAGAACGAGTGCCAAAATACTGATATAGGCTCCTCTATAATACGGTCTGTTGGCTGTACAAGTTTCTCGCGGAAAACAAATTATCGTCGGACGATACAAGGGTCCGAAATTGTCCCCCCCCCCCCCGCAAATAGAAATGTACGTGCCCGCGCGTGCGGGCCGTTACAAAAGACCCGCGGTAAGGTCGTGTCACTCGACCGATCACAGGTGGTAACCGGGTGACCTTTGAAATGTTTGAACGGTGCGCGGCCATGGAACAAACGATGGGCGCGTGCAGTCCGTCCGTGGAGGTGACCGACGATAACAACCGCGGGCGGACAATGCGTTCAAAAACACCGGGTCGCGGCGCACGGAAAAGCGGCTGTTTCGAAGACGGGTCACGGGTGGGCGGATGTGGACGTTGGCGCCCTGCGGTACCGCGGACATTGGCAGCACTGTTGGCCGTTCGTAATGAATTCCTCCCGAGACCCGTCGCCAGCCGAACGGGCGGCGGTGGGGGAGGGAATCGTACCGAACGAGAAAAAAAAAAGAAGACAAAAACACACACACACGCTCGTATTATATCACGTATATTTACATACATATATACATATATATATATATATACGTAAATATATATATATATATATATATATATACGTAAATGTATATATATATATATACACGATTATAACAGGGAAAATAATAATTCATTTGCTACTAGGGTTAAAGAAAAACAACAATAATAATAATAATAATAATAATAATAATAGTAACAACAGTAATAATATAAAATAACTAGTAATATCGTTTAGTTATACGATTTATTAGTATTATTTTGCAACGACGTTTACCGTCGATCCGTTCGTCCGCACGTCCGTATGTGTAAGAATTCGGGTGTGTATGTACGTGTTGTGTTTCGATCGTACCGTTTTGGAGTAGTAGCTGTCCGTCCGTCTGTCGGTACATCGTCGCCGTCAAATCCATCGTTCGCGTGAGTACACAACCGACGTGACACCTCGCGCACAGGACGACGACGCCGGGCCACACGGATCTGACAGACTCCGCCACAAGACCAGCCGACGGTAAGTTTGTCCGAGTACACAAATATTTCCTCGTATTGACGCCACCGTCCGTCGTGTAGGCACCACCTAACCGGGTGCCCCGGGATATGTGGTACAACAGTGCTCTGAACAAGTCACCTAAAAACTCTCTGGACCCGTTTCGGTTTCTGATTTTCAGTGATACTATCAGCGCACACAGTGACCAATAAAAGTCTACTGCCTGTTTTCATACGATGTCTGTTATTTTATTCGCTATGCGTAGAATTATGTGCTATAGGAACACATACTAATTAATACAATAAGAGATACGGTACTATATCTCTGTTGCTATAATAAATGTGCTGCAATGTTGTAGTACTGGTCTTTTTTATCTGTGATTCAATCTTTGTCTATTTTTTTTTCATATTAGTGATGCAAGTTGGTACTGAGTTAGAAGTATTTACTTTCTTTTTAATTAAAAATATATATACTTGTTGATAAAAAACCTAAATAATCGATTAAATCCACTTAAATGGAATGCTGTAAATTAAATTAGCACTTACTTGTTTACCATTAATTTATCTTAGACTAAGTAAATCATTAATTTTGCTACTGAAAATTGATTATGTGTAATGAAAGATGATACCTATTTAAATGCCATAGCTTAGGTAGGTAAATGTATTTATTTTTTTAGAACTAAATTAAATAAATGAAAACTGAACGTTATACCATTAGAAATTAATAAACTAATTGTGTTTTTTAAATATTAGGAACAAATCATTTAAATTATTATGTTAAATAGAGTGTTCAAATAAAGTATTAAAATATAATAAAAAAAAATAAAATTATACTATTTCTTTATTGATCTTTCAGTTGTTACATTATTACTTAAACATTTTATATTTGAATGAATAAATAATAAGTAAAATAAAAAATTCTTACTATATTAATAACATATTAAGTATTTATTTCTTAAAATGTAATCAATGTTAATCTTAGATATACAATTCAAAAACATTTTTCTCATTATAAAAATCTTGTCTCTGGACTTAACTTTTTCTTTCAATTTTCAAGGTTTATAATAAGAATTTAAAACAATTCATTTTTATATCAATATAAATATAATCATACTTGTTTACAACATGGTTTAAATAATGAAATATATAAATCCCTTAATATATCCTTAGACTTTAGTTTATAGAACTGATGTCCTTGTAATGTTATTGATTTCTTTTTCTTTTAATAACACATAGTAAATTAATAGAATATATTAAAAGTATATTTAATTATATTTTTGTTACATGTTCATTGCCTACTTATGTACCTATTTCTCTTCAATTTATCAACATTATAATTTGCTATTTCTTATAATAATTCTTACATGCTTCAATTTAATTGTTGTCTTTATATAGTTAAAATTTAGAATGGATAAAATGATCAATATCTTGTAAATTACCATGATTATTGTCTATCTACGATGAGAATAAAATATTCACTACATAAAACTATAAGTTTCAACATTTAAAATAGTATAATTATTCTGTTTCTATTATAGAATTATTTTAATGACTTATGCATTTCATACATCAAACTTAATAATTATGTTTGTGGTAGATTATTATATTTTAATAATTGTACACTTTAAAAGTAAGCTAGGCATATTTTTAATATTTTGTTAAACATTTTAACTTAACATGTAGAACTAAATTGATTCAAACCAATGTAGCTATTTATTTATTTTATGTCAGTAGGTATTTATACAGTATCTTTAAAAATGTATTATTTCATTCTTATGTTATTTTTAAATTACTTAATAATTATCTTTTTTTTTTCAGAAAGAAAATAAATTGGATAATTTTTTTATCATAACAATTTTTAAACTGGTGTGTAATTGAAGTCTGTAGACTTCAAAATTCTTCCATGATGGAATGGAAGAACAATATTCCAGAAGGGTAAAACTTAAATAAACATAAATATTTATTGTTTTTATTTATTAATAATTTTTACTATGCTTAGGAAAAACAATAAGAGTTCAGGTTCTCAGAATAGGAGACCTTCTAATGGTGCAAATAAAAAAGCAAATGATACCGTTGAATATTTTGGGTAAGTAAATGTGTTAAATGCAAGTAACTTTTACATACTCTAAATAACAGATGGCAGATACTACATTACTATTTTTTTCTTTAAAAAATATTTGTTATTCATAATTATTTATATTATTAATTAGTTATTTTAAAATTTTTAAAATTATAAATTATATTTCTTAGTATTTATTAATAATATAGACTCAGTAAAATAAAATATTTTAAAACAATAGTTTTTTTAAAAACCATTTATACATTTCTGGTCTATTATTGTTATTATTCTTTATAGAAGTTTAGACATTTTTTATTTTTGAGTTGGTGTAATGATAAAATGTATATTATTCTGTTGACTGTAGAACAATTATTTAATAAATGGTCAAGGTTAGAAATTAATAAATTCAAAAAAATTAGTTTAAATATAACTATAATACAAAAATAATTTTCTATATTCAAATTATAAATTCTCATTTATTTATTTTTAATACCTCTTGAAGCATGTGCTTCATTATAATATAAATTTACTAATAATATTTAAAATAGGGGTTATGGTAAAACTTATAATATTTGTGGTATTATAATGATGTAATTTTTGTAATTCTAAAGCTTAAGTTAAATTTTATTATATTTAATCCTTTTTTTTTATTATTATCAAATCTTAAACATTGAAATAGAAAACATTGCATCAGTTTGCTTATCATTTCTTTTAAGTAATGTAAATATAATTAAAATATTTTTTATTTTTAGTACGGCACAGAAACCTAAATCAAAACGTAAGCCCAAGAAGGAAAGCAAAATGATTAACATTGAAGAATTTGTTTGTACCTATGGTTCTGGTAACAATGCTATTAATTCAGAACCAATAAAAGCTGCTGCAACATTCCGTAAGTTTATATAAGATTTTTCTTTATTATTATTACTAAAATAATATTTTTGTTTAGCTGTTACAACAAATGCCTGGGCTCGTAAAAAAGGTTCAGAACTATTTGCAAAAGCTAAAGATGACAATGAGGAAGAAAAAATGTTAAAAATGGCGATTGTTGAAAGTATTAAAAGTGCTGAAGAACACTCACGAACCAAAGATTCTGCGTGGTAATTTCAAATATTATTAAATTAGACTTTTTACTAATAAATAAATTTAATTAATTTAGGAAAAATGACCAAGAGAATACCATTGGTACTGATGATCTGATGTTCCAAAAAAAACATAATTCCCAAAATAAAAAGAACTCTAGAGGATCTAAGGATTCTAGGTCTATCAATTGTTGGAACAACAGTTCATTTACAAAAGAAACTGATGATTATGGTTTTGCATCTGAACACAATAAAACTAATAAGAGTCCCAAAGTGGGGACCCTTTGGGAAGATGATTCCAAGAATAATAGGTCAAAGGATCGTAAAGAAATTAAAAACAAGTCTAAACACATCCAAAAAGACAAACCTAAGGAAAATAAACCTTCACCTACTGATAGTCCTCTTAAGCCAGAGAAAAAACTTAGGCAAAGAGGTGACTGGAAGGAAACTTTCATCAAAGACAATTATCAACCCGAAAGAAATGTGAGATCGAATGACATTGATGATCAAAGGCCTCAACCACAAGCTCATGATTGGAGCGTTCTCACATCAGGTTGGAATAAGCCAGAAGAAAAGAAAGATGATAAAAAACCGTCCAATATGTGGAATGGTGATGTAGGTGTTAATGTGGCCAAAAACAAATGGGAATCTTCCAACTGGTCATCAGAGCCTGTCAAAACCGAATCCGTTGACATTTGGAGTAGTGATCGTCCCAAAAGTAATTCAGTAGTTTGGAATGATCCAGTTGAGACCAAAGATGATGGTATAGATGAAAAACTCATTCAGTCCGAACGATCAGAAATTAAGCCTAATGTGTTTAACTTTACTGATTCCTGGGGACCAATGACTACTCAAATTAAAGAACCTCCCAAACCAATTGAAAGTCCAAAGTTTGTTGAGAAAAAACCACTGCCAGCTCCAGATTTCAATAGATACCTATTGGAGGCCCTGAGTCAGAGCTCACCATATACTGTACCTCCACACACAGAACCCCCTATATCTCAGTCAAACACCGATAGTCTGTACTCCAATTTGGAATCTGTCCTTCCAAAAACCTCCAGTTCAGTGTTAGAAACGAACAACTCACCAGAGTTCCTTTCCAACTTACATTTTCTGGCTAATATGACTCAAATATGTGATAGATTGGGTCTTAACAATAAACAGCTACTTTCGGACATGCCAGTTGGTGCAACTAGTAGCAGTGTTGAACCTGATTTACTTCAACAACCGCCTACATTAAATCAAATACAACAAAATTTGAATTGGAACCAAAAAACTAACCAGAAAGTTTATCAGCCGTTCCAGCCTGTGCTGCAGCAGCAATCGGACTATATGCTGCCTAACCAGCTACTGCAATCGCAACAACAGCAGCAGCAACAACAGCAACAGCAGCAGCAGCAGCAGCAGCAGCAACAACAACAGCAGCAACAGCAGCAGACATCGTTTATGCCTGCTAATTCGAACAATTTTAATTTAACTGGGAACAATGCATTTCCAACGTTGAATTTAGACCTTAACCCTCAATTCAATAATCTCATCTATCCAAACCCATTGGTGCCTCCACCTAATGGACTGTATCCTTATCAACATCAATCAAATGTTGAAAGGCTGTCTAACCTATCTTTAGGCCAGGATAAAATGAATTTCCCTATGTATAATTTGGTTCAAGACAAACAAACACGACTGAATGACTCATTCAGTTCTGCTCGAGAGCCAATGAAACAGTCGAAACCCCCCGTGCAGCCAAATGTGTTCATGCCAAACACACTGCCCAACTCGTACAACTTCAACATCGATCCAAACCCTCCATTATTTCCTGCCAATTTGTTTTATGCACAGATGCCTCAAGATGTGAACTATGTGCAACCTAACCAGCAACAGTTTCACAACTTCAAAGAGCAAAATGTGCAACATATGTTTGGCAACCAGAAACTGGAGCATCAGGTTCTCAGGGACAAGATGTTGAATGTGGGCAACCCATATTTAAAAGATTAATGAATATGTAGTCTTATCACAAAACGTAATATTAATACGTCATCTAGTCAATGGAAATACTTAGGTTTTGATACCTCGGTAGCATTGAACCCCAAGTATTGTGTAAGTTACAGTGTTTAATTTTTGCTTCGAATTTTTTTCCCACCAATTTCTCCTAGTGTGTGATTTTTTTTTTTTTTTTTTTTGGCAATAAATACTTTCAACCCATCTTACATCGATATTCGTATCGAATATTAAATGGGTAAAAAATTAATAGTGCAAATTTATTTTTTTTATTGTAAATTTATCATCGAGTAACCAGTGTACATTATATAACGAATTATTCAGTAAGAATTTTAGAACCATTGTGCGAATATATTCTCATTAATAATACATTTCAAACGACACTTAATTATTGAACCATATTTTAATGTCTTCAGTAAGTCAATTGTTAAATAGCTGATGAGTAATTATGAGTAATAATATATTACTTATGCTTAAAGTAGAAATAAAGTATCTTTGAAAGCTAGTTGACGAAGAAAAGATTTTACTGGGATAAAAAAAAGAAAAATTAGTATATTAGTATCTATAATACAAATAATTAAAAAATGTACCATCATATCAAAACTGATATTGCCATATCATTTATTTTATTTTTTTGTTCAGTTAATAATTATTGTGGAAAAAATATTGATAGTTATTATTTCTTATTAATTATTCGGCAGAGTAAATATTTCATTTTAAAGTAATTAAATCTCCCAATTTCAACTCTGATTTGATAAAACTGTAAAAGCTAAAAAATTCAAAAAATTCTTTGTAGATTAAAAGGTAACCCCTAAACCTTTGTAACATTCGATCAAATGAGAGCAGACGATTGTATTTTCTAATTATAGTTAAAAATCAGTATGATTAAAGACCCTTAACATTTTTTCTGAGTTATACTACTTGTTACTATTACTATTCTAATGAACTTGACTGAATTGAAGAATGTAACCCTCGAGTGTGAGGTTCATTGGGCCTAAATGTACCTAAAATTACAGGCACAAATATACCAGGTTTTAAATGCAATAAATAATACAAAAACTATTTATATCAAGACGAATGACGGTCATGTACTGTAATTAGTGCCCGAGAAAAACGATTCTGGCTGCGAATACAACAATACTGGTAGCTAAATCTGACGAACAAAAAAAAAATTCAATACATTGGCGATGTCAGTGTTGCGTTCGACGAACAAGAGTAACTCGTGTAACTCTTGTGAAACGTATCTCTTCGAAATGTACTGTTCCCGTGTTCTGTTCAAACAACAAAGTATTATTATTCTGAAAACATGAAATAATTGTAACCTGCATACGGGGTTGTTAACTATCCGCAGTGGCGTATTTTGGATTTTTTCCTGAAAAGGAATGCGTTATTGATTTCTCTAGCAATAAAATTTACATATTTTTATTAGTTATGAAGTTCGATCGAGATAATAACTGTGGATAAAATATTTACTTCGATTACACTTAAGAGATTTAAACATCGGTAAAAGGCAGGTAAGTAGTATTATAATTTAAAAGGGACGGAACTCCTAGGTCAGGTGATGTACAGGGATATGTGGATGATATTGTAATATTAGTCTTTTAAACGTGAAACCAATGTGCTAATGGTCCCGAAGAAACGATTCTAAGTGAACACGATCAGGTATGTTTATACTTCTAACGTAGTTGATATAGCAGTATAACCAAATCGGTTGAACTTTATCATATTAATAATTACAAATTTTTTATTTAATATTATTATTAACAAAATTACGTACTGTTACGGTTTTAAAGAATAATAAAATCAAATTAATTGATTACGCTCATCATTAAGTAACTCATTTTTATTAAAAATGTTGTCTAATATATTGGTACCTATACATAAGAAAAAGCGTCTACGTAAAGAAAACGATCGTCGAAAAATAAAATGTGTTAGCGTCGATATTACGGTGTTCGTGTATTATAATACATTAGGTTAATGGGTCCGCATCAATACATCGCAATAGGTATTTCTATATTTTAACGTGTTGAATCAGCGTACACTTCAAGGGAGGCATTGCCCGTTGACGGAAACAAAATCATTTGCAACATAAGTATATGCTTAAATGTATAATATTCATTACGATTATAATTCATGACGACGGCTAAATTACGGTACAATCCAGAACTAAGTACCTAGCTGCGATCCGGGGAGACTCGAATAACGCCTAATCAGTTGTGGCTAGTTGCTTATATCTGCACGTTGCTTCGTAATAAAAATGTCTAAAAGAAACATAACAGATTATTTTTCACAGAATAAAAAAACTAAGACATTAGAGCCCCAAGATTTTTGCCGTGATACAGATTCAGATGAATTGCTTACGCCTACAATAAAAAAATGGAAAAATTATTTTCTATGGCTTTATTTTGATGTTCAACATTATGGTGCTCTTTGTTATCATTTAGGGATAAAAGTAGTATTATTACTATCAGAGATGTTTGGCAAGCCACAGAAAACATCTTCATTTTCAAATTAATTTAATAAATTCTGAAATTCATCATCGGGAAAAAATTCATCCTCATCATCTATACTTCCAATATCAGAATTATAACCGTCCGATAATAATTCTAAAATATTACATTCTAGTAATTTACGAGACATTTTTTTTTTTAATATTAATTTTTCATAAAATACAATATAAAAAATTACACTAATTAGTTTGCATAACGTACCGCTGAGTATAGAAATGCGTCAGTATAACAGCACAATCAGTTTGATAAATGAAATAAATATCGGTGAAAATAAACGTAACATGTCACACAGACCGGTGGGTCACAGATGTGACCCAAAATTCAAACAATCATATCATTCGATATAATGGAAATGTAAGAGTAAAAATGATATTATTAGATTACGTAGCTAATATTCTTCTAGGAAATTATTGTACAACTCGCTGTTATTATTTTCGTATTTATAAATCAAAAATGAAAATAAAACATGAACATTTCCACATTATTTTTTCTTATAAATATACGGAAATACACTAAAATAAAGTCAATAAGATGATAACAATTAGATAAGTGAATTCTACGGAATTTTATACATCGTTATGCATACAGAGCGTTTGCTGTACACTAACAATTTATTTTTAATTGAAGAATGAAACATTGGGTCACAAAAGTGACCCGGGGGTCTGAAAGGGTTAAGAAATAAATACTTAATATAATATTACCAATATTTATTTACAAAAACTATTTTTCTTCAACTTTTTTTGTCAAATTATTCCAGTTCTGACTTCTTCTATAGGTATAATTAGGATCACCATCATTCGCTTTATTGTAATCCATTTGGCCTGATGAATTAAAATTTGAGGAATAATTTCTAGAGTTCTTTGATATATTTCTACAGTATTGATCATATAACGTTTTATCTTCTGGTTGATCAGTATCACCACATAACCATAATTCAGAATTATTGATGATTGAGCGTAATATCAAAACTACCCATGAAATATGTTTGAAATTTTCGGCTGGTTTGATTGGGCCACTTTGAAAAGCAAAATACCTATAACTTTTATTTGAGTTTTTAATTTTTACAAATGCATTTTCTATGTTACTGTAATATTCAGTTTGATTGGTGAACACACAAATTATCTTTTCTTTATTGACAACATAAGGTATCATGTCACCAGGGTTGATCTTTTTTTTCTTGGCGTCATTTAACATACTATGAAACAGATAAAAAAAAAAAATGTTTTTATAATAGTAAATAAATATATTATTAATACTAATGATACTATTAATATTACATATTAGTAGTATTAGTAATTGTATAGATCATATCAATGTATAACAATGTATAATTCAATCATTAACACAGAAATAGTAAAAGAACACTTGATAATTTGAAAAAAGTAATAAAATGAAACATTTCAAGAGTCATAGTATAATACCTTTAGTATAAAAATATTTTTACAATTTAATAGAATCAACTACTACACATTATGCACTTGAATTACAGTACTGACCACAAAACATTGTTTAAGCTTTCTAATTCTTTTGAATTTTATCGTTTTTATTACATTTTAAGTTACATTTGGACAGTACAAATACATTTAAAATATAATTACTTTTCTATGAATGGATATCTAGTGTTCACTCTAGCTTCTACATCATCTATGCTCTTTTTTTTGTTTAATTGATCTAGGTTGATAAACAGAATAATATCGGTTTGTGCTTCCATCTCCCATACATTTTTTGGTGTAATATATACTTTTAATGACGGTGTTTGTTTGCGATCTAAAATCTAACACAGGTAAAACAATAATAGTTAAAAACATATTTGGAGACTTCTAGCACTTACTTTTGAAGGTTTACAAACGGTTATATGTATACCAGATCCAGTAAATATTTCTATGATGAGATTTTTCACTAAACTCCAATCAAGTCCATCTAATCCACAGCCAATTGTTGGAATACCCAATTTAGTTAACTTAAGTTTTTTCATTTTTTGAAGAAGTGAGTGGAGAGCAAGAGACAATGTTAACATTGTAGGCTTACCACTACTATTTTTTTTTGTTACTAGGTAAAAAACAGTTGTTTCATGACGTTTAACTATGCCAACATTGCCTATAGTTAAATTCTGATCAATTAATTTACCAACACCACCAAAATAGCGTCTAAAAAAAGAATAAAATCACAATTGTATTTGTCAGTAAACTAATAATTTTACTTGAATTCAACAGCAATCCCTGCACCCATCCGTAAATCTTCAGCAACACAATGAGCTAGAGCATAGTCTTTGGGTAGATTGAACAGATCTTCATCTATTTCCACTAACACACTAGAATTAAGAAAAAATTGTTAGCAAGTTAAAACGTGTAAGGACACCAAGCAACCACTAAGGAAACCATGTACCCAAGTGGTAAATGCAAGTAGTTTTTGAAGGGTAAAAATAACTTCGAATAGATGGAATATTATCTGTATATACAAAAACATAAACATAAAAAATTTAATTATTTTTCCACCACCTACAGTAGTTTTTCTACAAATATATACTTATTAGTAGGGCTCGGATTTTAAAGCATAATAAATAACAAAAAAAAAAAAAAAAAGCATGACCAAAAATTAACATGAATTAGTTATAAAACTAAATTAAAAAAATAATTAATTACCATTTTAGAAGATTTTCCGACAGAATGTTTTTATACAAAGAAAACGAATGCTTTACATCCATTAAATTAATCGGTACATCATGCAAGAGGTTTCATTTAAATCTAACCTATGATAATTAATTTTGTTAGATTAAATGCCACTAGTATATTATTAATGCCTAGTAATTGTTTCCAGCCTTTGTTTTTCACAAGAACACGACTTAGTTTACCCGAAATTGCAGTTGCAATATCTCCATTAGCTTAATTTAACATATTTTCTGTATCTAAGATAATATTTATGTATTTTGTCAATGATCTAACTGTCTGCAGATTGATAATCTCTATGTTTGATAAATTTAACAATTAGGCCGAAAAAAATAATAATCCAATACAATCTACAATCATTTAGTCCGTATTCTAGGTTTTCACATTTGTTATTAATTAAATTAAATTTTTTTTATTACTATAGTATAATAAACATACACATATGTATAAAACTTCTACAGCTAAAATAACTGAAAGAGGAATAAAAAAGCAAAAAAAAAAAAACAAAAAAATTGGTTTATTGGGAAACAGAAAAACGTGAAACGAATTTATATTTAAAAATTAGAGGTCCATATGATATATAAAAAAAGAAGCATTTGCTTTAAAATCTGAGCCCTAATTATGACATACTTATCTGCATCTTGATGCATCTTGGCCTATATTGTACATATACAATGTATAATTCTATAATCAGCAACACAGGTTAAGTACCGTAAAATGGGGTGTCTTCGGACAAGTGGGGTGACTCCGGACAAAACCATATTTTTGTAGTTTTCTTATAATTTTAGATTACAAGTTTGATAAAAGTTGAAAACTGATAATCCACGTTAAAATCTATTATATTTCCCATATAATATAATATTTATTAATAACATAATATTATCATACCATATGTTATGGAGGTAAATACAAGATGTTCTATTTTTGGATTTTAAAATTATTAAACTTATAACAACTGTAGCATAACAGCAAATGGACGTATTTGATTTCGGTTTGAGGCAATCGACTCGCTAACTTGTCAGTAATAATTTACATGTGTGCAAATTGTTAGTTAATTTATCCTTACATTGAAGTGTTACATTGTTCAAATTAATTTAAAACGTGGGGTTACTTCGGATACGTCAATTACGATGCCCAGATCATACAAGAAAAAGGTAAGTGGCCGTTCTTATCAGAATTACGATCATAATATAATTAAAAATGCAGTTGATGCCGTTCGTTACAAAAAAATAACAATTCGACGTGCTTCTGAAGCGTTCGAAATACCAAAAAGTACAATATGTGACCATTTAAATACAAACAAAATGATAAAAAAGCCTGGTGGACAACCAATTTTTAACACCGACGAAGAAAGTCAACTTGTAGAAGGATTATGAAATGTTCGGAGTATTCGGTCATATTTCGTTTTTTCACAAGTCAAAGATAACAGTAATATCACAAAGATGCAAGTAGTACGAAAGTTAGTGCCCAGTAAAATAATGAAACGGGGACGTTTCATTTTTGACAAGATTAATGCAACTAATTTTCATTGAAGAAATAAAAATTTAAATACCTAATATAACATTTTATAAAAGTTTTGTTTGATAATTATTAGTTTATGTTTGAAAAGAAAAAAATTTAATTTTAAGTTGACGTTTTTATAAAAGTAAAAAATTATTTTTGTTAATTCAAAATATTTAATAAAATATGTTGTATTTATAGTAAAGTTTTTTTTTTTTTGTTTAATCCGTCACATTTTTAAAAAAAAAATATCTTTACTGTTCGGAGTCGACCAATATCATTGGTTTTTAATGAAATCAAATAAGTGTCCGAAGTCACCCCATTTTGCGGGTACCTCCGGACAAAATTAAACTTTAAAAAAAGTGAGAACTTTAATAACTTTAATGATTACTCTTCTTCTATATGGTTTCAACATACCTAAAGAACATGGTATATTTTTTTCATAATTTTAGAAACAGTATATTGAGGTTAATTTATGAAAAAACGTTAAGATCTGTCCGGAGTCGCCCCATTTTACGGTACATTTGACATAATGCTATAATTATAATATATATAAAAGTCGATAGTATTAATAAAATAATAGCGATATTGCGACAATAGTCGTTCGATAATAATAAGCTTCCCCTTTTTTCGGCCCACTACTTTCAAGTACATATTGGATATCCTCAATGTTCACAAAATGTCTTGCGAAACACCCTCTTGCTTATACTGCGAACTTAATTCTTCGGAATGATTACCATCACAATAAAGCCCATCCAATATTGAAAATAAAAGATCAATATCGATTCACAGACAAAGAAAATAACAATAACAGTAAAATTGTGCTGATTTTATTTTAAATGTTTTACAACTCATTTTTTGCTATAATTTTAATCTATATAGTTTTTATCCGTTTTATCAATTATTACTCCAAAACAATAAATTCTTAAATTTGGCTTACAATAAACAATTTTGTAAATTGTATTGATAACTAGAAATCAGAATATACTTTTCTAATAATTTAATGTAAATGATAGATTTTAAGTAATTATTAGCTAATTTAGTCATTAAGTATTAAACACGTACCTTTTTAGATTGGTTATTTTATCATGATTTGGATTTCTAGATTTTCTTATCTTTTGATCTGTTTTGGATGCAACTGAATGAGTTTTATCCTCACTTCGAGGTTTAGAACTTAATACAAAAAAAAATATTTTAAATATTTAGCTTTTGAATTAATAAAATATTTAATTCATCTTTCGTAGAAGTGCATTTTTTTTATATAAATTTATACCTCCTATTAAATGATTCTTTCAGGTCATTAATATTATGTTCACCATACTTTCTTTTCTTATTAATTTCACTATTTTCTCCAAAGGTGGGTTTTCTATCATCCCTTTAAAAATGTTATTAAGGCATATCAAAAATTGAATTTTAATATCAAGGATTTTTACCAGGAAAACATAGGGACAGGAGGTACTGGCCTTCCTCAATATATTGTGAATATGGCCCAACAATTTAATTCTAAGGGTAAGGGACCTGTATTTTAACTGATTTTACTTAAATTAAATTAAATTTATTATTAAATATATGGTAAAAAATGAATTATGTTTTGTTATAGAAAAAATAAAACTAAATTTTCTAAATTTTAGTACAAAAACTTCTTATGGTAATATAATAGCCACAATTGACTAGAAAAGTATAAATCTCAAATAATTGAAGATATTTGAGAAAATATATGCGATTCAAGGAGAACATATTCATAAGGGTTAATATACCACAATATTAAACTAAAAATTTAAGTTATGTTTATTTAATTATTTATAAATTATAATTTATTAAATATACCAATATGTTTTGTTAATATAAGGCTCAAAAGTATCACAGGCATATATGCTTATGCAAAAAAATCAATAATTTTAAAATCAGGAGTTCGTACAATGCAATGGTAGAAAATAATAATTTTAATTACTTAAGAATAGCCGTTGTAGCCTCTGATTTATTGTCAAATTTGGATTTGTCACTATTGTCTATATCTTTTTTCTGTTTGTCTTTTCCATCAATTTCCGCTCTAAATTATAAATAAGATTTTAGGTAAAATTATATTATTAATAAATTATTTACTAAAAAACTAAAAAGAAGCAATAAATTCCATAATTAGATTACCAAATAAGTTGAATATTAAAACATTTAAATAGATAATAAAAAAAAAATACATAAGATTTGCAAGGAATATATAGGTAAGTAAAACTAATCTATAAAATTAAAAACAATAACAATTAATTAAAGCTTTTTTGAGCAAAGTTGTTTGGCGTTAGTACTGACTCTCAAAATATAGTTGAAAAAAATGCTATAATTAAATTCCAATAAGTAAAAACACAATGCTTTTGTATAACTTAATAAAAAACTTAATATTTAAAAGGGATTAACACCAAGTTTAGGTGAAATACAATGATCTGTAAATTATATCGCTATATTAGACTTTTTAACTAGAAAATATAAAATTCTCGTAAAAAAGTTTTTGAATCAAAGAAATGGGATGTAGAACTGTAATGTTCTAACTTTTACAAAAAAAAAAAAAAGAATAATGTTTATAAGATAACTAAATTAGTTATATCATAAGTATTAATAGTATTTATGTATCAAAATGCATTAAAATAATTTCATTTTGTAACATTTATAAAACTTTTTTTTACAACTTTTCACCATTTTTTTTATTTTTTTGGTAAAACCTTGTTTTCAGTTTTCAAATCTTAAATATAAAAATTTTAGTAAAATAAGTTAAGTTAATATAATTTTATAGATATTTTACAAAAAAAAAAAACCATTAAGAAAACATGAAAATTTCTCATATTTATATATAACTCAAAAAATTATTTGAAATAATACACCATTTATTGTGAACAGTAATACAATAATTCAAGTTTCTACCATTATTTTTCTTTGAGTTACAAATAATTTCCTTACATAAACCTCTTATGATTGTGATAATTAAAGTAATCTATCTAGTCAAAATTGTTTACCCAAACATAAAAAATATTATGTGACAAAATAATATCTAACGAGTGTTCGAATTTAGCAATCGGTTGAAGTTTTTTTTTTAAATTTAATGACCCTTTTTCTCAATTATTTGAAAAACTGTTAAAAAAATCGTAAAATGACCCCTCTTTATTACCAACTAGAGTCTATTTCCTATTTTTCACTTTTTTATTCTTGGTGATTGGAGAAATATTTCTGGGCGAAATACTATTTTTTTTCAAAAAAAAATCTAAAGACATTTCAAATTTTTCTTAATTTATGAAGACAATATTATTTTTATGAACTATACAAGAGCACTAAATATTCAATTTTTTATGTAGCATTTGAAAAATTATTTTGGGATCATTAAAATAATCAAACTGATATTATGAAAAATTAAAACAGATATTTCCATATTTGATTTTTATAATTTATGCTTTTAATTATCTTAATAAAGAGTAATACCTAGTTTTTCTGTTTAATAAATATCAATTTTCTATTGTGTTGTAGTTTTATTTGTAGTACTAAATAAAAGGAAATATCATAATACAGAAAAATTAATATGCATTATGAATAATAATATTAATAATAATAATATTTCCCAACTTTGCTCAAAATATTAATATAGGATAGGATGTTAATATAACTGAATACATAATATGAGCTGTTATAAGGTCTTAATAAATTAATTACGTTTTTGGTTGTTTCTGTTTCTTTCTGCCCATTTTAATCAGGAATTTTTCTGAAACTGAAAATAATATACATATAATATTTAACCAATATGTCTTTCTTTATGATGTTAAATATGTATATTTATTTTTTGTCAAATTCTTGAAGTAATCTTAAACATAATTTTAAAATACTTTAATTACATATCAGTAATCATACATCAAATCACTAAGCATGTATTTAAAATTATACAGTAAAACGTAATTATTTAAATAGATAGCTGGATGATAAATTGACTAAACATGACAATTTTCAAATAAGTTAAATATATGTGGACTCTTATTACTATGTAGAGATAATAGCAAAAATGACATAAAATGTATGTAAATAGTGATCATGATATGAACATTGAATGTTTCTTTGTGGACATAATATAAGAAAAAATTAATTTATATTTACATAACTAGTATATAGTGTAATAAATAAAATCAAATATAATAAATGCCTATGTGGATTAAAGTCTAGAAAGGCCATAGTGCAACTACTTACTAGAAACTTCTTTCAAAATAAAAATTAACATAAATCTTATCTAGGTGCATGTATTAAAATTAAGTAATAATAATAAAATCAATGTTCAATGAACATTTTATACATTTAGTATATTAGTATAATTTGTTGAATTAGTACGTTTTTAATATATTAGTCATTATGTATTAATTTTGGACATAATAAAGCCTCGATGTATTACACTCCTGCTAAATCCGTCATTGGGTATACGATTACTGTTTAACATAATTAAGCAGTAGCTATACATATAGTATGTACATATATACAAAGGACTGTTCAGCAGTTACTGATGGAAAAATATCATAAATACCGTATTGAAAACAATTTTTACTATAGATGTACATTTATACCGATGAAAAATTGCTTGTGGAACGTAAACAAAAAATTATAATATACTTACAACAAAATAAACTTCAGTCTACGAGATGGGACTTCTAAATCGCAATTTGCAACGCGCACCGTTGCGAGCTAAATGACTGCTGCTACGATATTACAACAAATTATAAGAATTGGAAATATTACGGAAATCGCATCAATGAATTTACATAAACTACGGACCAACTACGGAATTCGATGTAACACTACGACTACTAATTGTCAAGCAGTTAGAACTACACGCTTTTGTTAAATCTGTCCCCGCCCGGTCATGCAATGTTTATGTTTGTTAAGCGATTATAATTTTTGGTGTTTCTTCCTTCTCGTTTCTTTATCTACACGTGATTATGCATCCGATAAAGGCACATTGCGTGCGTACGCGTGCCTACACGGACATCGGTCTCAACCACGATGTAATAAACAATATTATGCCATGAGCATCACAACGTGCACGTGACAAATATGAACAGAATTATTACAATATTGAACTTGTCAACAGCGTGAGCATTTAGGAGCAGACGTCATTAAACGCCTCTATGTACTCTGGGCGAGCGGTGAAAAGTGACGGTCAACTTATCATGGAGCAACGCCATCGTTAATAAAAACGTATTCAAAATAATAAGAACGTCATGTACGATATTGACGTAGCCGTTCGTTGCCTGTGGAACACGACCATGTAGACGTACCGAACGTTAATATTGCATATAGTATTTTAAGTCTTCTGTCAAATCGGAACTCGGGATCGGTCAGAATTTCCGTCCGTTTCTCGACCAGAGCACGACAATGAAAATACGATTTAACCAAATTGCGATCGCGGCCGCGCTTATGAAGTATTGATGGATACGCAATAGATAACGGGATGGCCTATCGAATCCTTATCGCACGAGAATTAACGTAATGCTTTTCTTGGTTATAGGTGTAGTGTCGTGGTTAGGTTTGTCAGTACGTCACTTGACCGAATAAACAAAAAAAATTTACACTGTACACGGACCATAGAGCTACTTATTGATTTGATATTATACTCCTTATGACTCTTGGTACATGTGTACTACGTATTATTGTATCTAACAATGTACAATTTTTCCCGATACTATTAACCGCTATGAAAAAAGCATGATTTTTAAAACAGTATGGATAACCCCGGGCCTATGATTATGGTGAGAAACATGAAAACGGAAAGTAATTGGCGATTTCAGATTTTCCTAGATGATATACGATTAGGAATATCCCAAATCCCTGTTAGTGGCATAATCAATGGTAGTATTATATAGCCATTGATTTGGTAATACATGTACATAACTTACATTTTTAAAACAACGAGTGTTGGCAGTGTACATTGGCCACTGTTTTACAATCACGTTTTCATTTAAGGCGCTAAACAATACAATGGTAAAATTTCAACAAACGGTCATACACAATTCGTACTTCATCGTTGACGTGTTGGTGACATCGTTTCAAAGAAATTTGTATTACCGGACAACTCGATCGCGCGAGTCGTCGAGCAATTATTAAAAAACCCGCACTCGTCACTCGTCTGGCTATCAGACCACTCCGACGTGACCAACCTTTTATGGCGAGACGGTCACACTGCGACCGCGTCCGTCCGTCCCGCTCGCCGGCCGTCGCCGGTCGATCACGCGCGTGTAGGATAACAACTCGCGCCGCAATGGCGTCTGACCGCCGGTCCTCACCCCTCCCGTTGCCGGACAGTACTTGCCGCGCACCCGCACCCGTTGCCGCGGCCTACGACTAATATCAAAGTCCATAAGTTGCGCTCGAACATTGGTTCCGGGACACACCTGATCGCGAATTCGACATCGTTCTTGATTTAACCTGGCACTCATGCGCTCTGTGGCCGTCGCCGCCTTCTCTTCAGCTTTCTAAGGCCCTTCTTGACGCCTTTGACGACCGAGCTGTAACCGACGGGGTTCGACACCGCCACAACGAACTGAAAATCACCGTTGTCTTTCTCCCGCCGGATCTTTCAACTACTGGCAACAGGTCAGTGTGCAATTATCAAGACGTTTCACCGGCGTCCGTAACGACCTAATGGATCGCGCGTCGGTGTTCGAGATGAGATACATCGTCGTACGCCGATTGTCGCTCCCTTTTTGAACCTGTAACACGCAGGCTCGTTGCTAGGCAGACAGGGATTGAGCTTTTTAGACACTGCTCCAGGGAAGCGAAAACGAAAAAAAAAAAAATTAATAAATGGAAACCCGAGTGACACAGTAATTAGTCAACTTCAAAATTGTTTAATTTGATTGATAAGTATCTACGGGTCTGATTCAATCGACCATAATACTTGCTACTATTGCTACTTATCACTGTGTTTTTGGCACTTCCCTGTAACATGCTACTATCTAACCAACTAATAGTTGGAGCACCCCCTAGTAATCAAGATAACATTATTTATTTGAAGGCGTACCTATAATAACATATGGCTTGTGTTTTATTTTTTTCTTGAATTCTGTTTCAAAACCATTACATTTTGTCAGTCATAAATTATCATCTTATTTCAATAAGATTATCTTATCGTGAGTTTTGATTACATTAACCCACATACTTGTGTTATGAGTATTGTATATCTCCTTGGTTTGAAGTGGTAAATATTTAAATACATTAAGATAAGAGCAATAGTGTTCAAACATTCTATAGTTTCATATAGAACAATTAAAAGCCTATTACATTGTCACCAACCATCTGCTTTATCATAGTGTTGTGTAGTTGTCGATTTTCATAATTATTTTATTATTTTTTCTTAATGTGTAATAAATAATTTTATTTAATAGTTGACAAATAATAGTTTTTATATAATATAGGTCAAATATTATAAAATTAAATTGTATGCTTCGTATTATTATGGTTTTCAATTAATTAGGAATTCTAGATAATTCTTGTGTTAACTATTTTTGGTATTGCAGTTATTAAAGAGATGTCGTCGTCTTCAAGATACAGAGATTCTGGTAATCCAGATTGCAAAATTTATGTTGGTGATCTAGGATCAACTGCGTCAAAACAAGATTTGGAAGATGCTTTTTCATATTATGGTTCAATTCGTAATGTTTGGGTAGCTCGTAACCCTCCTGGTTTTGCTTTTGTCGAATTTGAAGATTCTAGAGATGCTGAAGATGCAGTTAGAGGTCTAGATGGCAGGTAATAAGAATATTCTACAGAAAAAAATTAATTTTTATTATATAGATATTAATAGTATAAATATTATTATAGTTTTATCTCAGTTCAGGGGCGTCATTTCACATTTTTTCTTGGGATGTAAAACCAATATTGAAAATCTAAAGTAATAGGTACCAGTTGCTCGTATGGTCAAGTCATCCTATGAATTTTTTTTAACAGCTTTTTTGTGTAAATGTAGATCATTTTATAGAAATTATACTATAAAACAAATAATAATAATTTTGTTAACAAAAATGGTTTTATTTTGTTTTAACACAAAATTATATGAATCACCACTGCATATTGTTTAATAATCAATTAGATCAGTGATTCCCAAACTGTGCACCACGACCATTTTCTAAGGGCACCGCGGTCTATGTACGGTTCATAACAAATAGTTTAAAATGTACAAAATTGTTTTTTCTTATGGTTTTCATAAAAACTTTATAGCAAATAATGTAATATTTTCTATTGTATATTCGTATATTCTCATTTTAACCTTATAATAATTATAATCATAATAACATTAATTTTTATTTATTTATTTTTTAAGTTTAAAAATGCATTAATTTATAATTAAGTTAAATTTTAATAAAATTGGTTATCAATAAGTTTTTTTTTGTTCTGTAATGTAGTTCACAGCTGGTTACTATAGGTAAATTAGGTCCAAAAAAAGGCACCGCTGAAAAAAAAGTTTGGGAACCGCTGAATTAGATAAGACAAATCAAAAAAAATTACAAAATTATTGTTTTTTTTTTTTTATACTATAATTTTATAAAATTATTTACACAAAAAATGTGATAAAAAATATTCATGGGATACATTTGCACACCCTTGCATCCCACAAATGACACCTCTGTCTCAGTTATTATAATAAAAATGTTTCTATAATTTTAAAGTCGTATTCTACTTTAGGAGTATTTGTGGTAGACGAGTCAGAGTAGAGTTATCTAATGCTGGATCACGTAAAGGTTCTTATCGTGGAGGTCCACCTCGACGAGGACGCCCATTCCATCCTGAAGATAAATGTTATGAATGTGGTGATAGAGGACATTATGCTCGTGATTGTCGTCGTTTTAAAGGAGGAAGGCGCAGGTTAATGAATTTCTCATTAAATTTATTTTATTATTTTTGGCTTCACCTATTAAATTTAATTTTTGTGGTGAAGTCTTAAATTTATTGAGACTGTAATTATATTATGTAGATCATTGACACAACCATTTATATAATGGAAATGTAAAAAATGACTATAATTGGCCATTTTTGTAGGATGTTCGGCTGAGAGCGTCTCGTCTCGTAGTGTCGATCGTCGTAGAGCTCTCAACCAAAATAAAATATATTGATCTACTACTACGTGCCATGTGTGTTAGTCGTCGGACTTCGGCGCAACTATCTGTCTGTCTGCGTTTATCGATGTACTGAGCTACACTAGAACCCCATCGAGCCCAACCAACCTAATGATTTTTAATCTGATGCTCTAATTAGCTATCGGTGAACGTACACAGACTTTCAAATACAGAAAGAGTTATAAATATTATCTGCATAACGCCACTGGCCGTCTACGTAGCATTACTACAATGTCATTTTAGGAGAATGTTGAACTTCATTTTCTTATGTGAGTCAATTAAATCACAAGAGCAGGTTGGATTATATTGATCAGTGGGATACATTTTATATTTATTTTGTTTAACTAAATTTTACCTTCTTTAAATTCCTTTAATATATTTATTAAATGAGATGCATTATGTTATTTCTTGTAATAAACATATAGAAAAATATTTAAAAAAAATTCTTATTAATAAACGCTTTATAATATTTATATTTACATATTAATTTAATATACACTAAGGATGCTTGATTTAATATTAATTAACTTAAAACTTGAAAATTACAGTTTTTAATGTATAATATAATTTTTTTGTAGAATCTAAATTCAATGAAGTTGAATATTTTGATTGGTAAAATTTAATTTTTTCATAGTGAAATAATACATATTAAATATTCAAATTAAATATTTTACTATATATTTACTAGAGTTAAATGTAAAAAATGTTGTGAACTTGTGTTTTAAATTATTTTTTTTTATGTACCACTGATACCTGTTGAAATTATTATTATTTATATTTTATAGTAAATATAAAAAAATAAAGATATCTATTTTAAATCACGGTTAAACTTAAGTTCTTGGCTTTGCATTCCTAGAAATTATAACTATCAAGATGTTTAAAATTAAGGAAATCGTATAGTTATAGCATCCTTAGTGAATCATATTCACAAATTTATATTTATACAATATCTGATAGTTCTCAGAAAATAACTATTACAAATAGCAATTGAAAAAGTAATTGGTATCTAGTTCGAATATTCAATGTTCAATGTATAAACTGGGAAAATAAATACTAAGATCCAGATTTGTATGCGCTTAAAAAACTTAAACTAGTATGTATTTACGCATTAATAAATATTTAAATATGTGCTTGATATGCTTTTATTTTTATTTTTTAATAATATGCATAATTATGCTCTTATCCAAAATAAATGCTTTTAATTTTTTTATTTTTTTTTTTTTTTTTTTTTTTT